CTCTAACTGGTGCACTACAGGGAGATGGGCTGCATGCTCCTGGGGCTTCCTCTTAAAATTTGTGCTTGAAGAAAACACCTGAATCCTAGTTTGGATATACTTCATTTGCTATATGATTACTTCCCCAGAAAGGTCTTTAAATTTTGCTGGGTGAGCACATCACCCTCTCCTGCAAACGGGGAAGAAGAGTCATCAGGAATTGCTCCAGCCTGTATCCTCTCCTTGTGATGACTCTGCATTGCTAGAATTCCCAAAACCCAGCACTTTCCTGAAGCTCCTCCAACAACACAAACCCCATCGGTTTTCTCTTCCCATCCTCAGAAGCGAGCACTGGAAGCTTTGTGTGTTTTGCTAGAGTGTCATTTGAGTTTTGGTTCGCAGTTGCTATACGAGTTTTACAAGTTCGAAGCAGCGAAGTCCAAAAACGCTGCCCAGCTTTCTGCCTGTGGCAAAAGGTGGAGAAATCTGTGATGAGTTGAAGACCTTCGCCTTGGCAGGACCACATGGATTCCTGAGCTGTTGACTTGCTGCAAGCTCTCAAGTGGAGGCTAGAGATCACACCTTAGAGATTGGGAGAGGAAAAACAACTCGAGGGCTATGAACTGGCAAGAAGCTTAAAAGCTCCTTTCGAAAACAACACATTCTCCTGCAGGAGGAATAAGAAGCAGGAGAAAAGCAAGGAAAGGGTTAGTCATCCTCCTGGGAAAGAAGCAGGGCAGCGATGTCCTGCACAGAAGACATGGTCCGGTCCGGTGGGAGCAGAGCTTCGGTCCCCCATCCCTTGCTGCCTACATCTACAGGGCTGAAAGCTTAGGGGGGCTGATGCTGTTTGGATATGATGGTGTGCTCTGATATTTCTACACTCACAAGAATGAAATGCAGCGTGAATCCCTGTGCTTTGGGTTTTCCCTATTTCCTGGTGCTAAAAAGAAAAGAAAGGAAATGCCACAAAGCTGCAATCATGAGCTCAGCAGGGATCGGAAAACAGAGAAAGCAGGTATGAGAGCAAAACTCTGCAGAAGTATAAACACTATCACTTCTCCCATTAACTACAATGCTCTCTGACTTCTGACATCTCTGCTCATCCATTGCAGCTTTTCCACCTCAATGTCCATTCTTCCTCCCATTCAGGTAGGACTTTGATGACAAACATGGAAAGCTGTGGGGTTGCTCCCATGTACAGAACACCACGAGCAATGCCCAGCCCCACCTGACACAGACGATTTGTATTTATTGCCAGCTTCTGCAAAATTCAGGGTAAGGTCAAGCATGGGCATACGGATGGGGACTCTGTCATCCCTTTCTCTCTCGAGGAATCTAGAAGTGGAAGACTTTAGCTTTGCCCACTTTTTTTTTTTTTTTTTTTTTTCTTACAGCAGTTAGAAGCACAGCAGTGCTGCACAGACTGTGGCACACAAATTACATCTCCTTCGCTGAATTCACTTCAGAGTCCAAAGCTCAAGGCTAAGAGCACTTACCAGTTTCCATTGTTAAAATAAAAAGCAACTCCACAAGGAATGTGGGTTTTGGTTGTTTTGTTGCAGGTATAGAAAATAGGATGTAATCCCAACTCTCCAGCCAACCTTCTGCATGACCCTGGGCAAGACACTTTTCGTACCTGCGCCCCTCCCTCGTTGTATGGCTATTCAAACAAGCTTGAGGCAACAACTCTCATCCTTCATATAATATCAGATTGATATTATTATATTCAGTCTAATTTAATATTAGATTTTGACAACAGTAATGTTAAAAACGTTCCCTGTGAGCTCCATCTCATCAGATTTCTTTAGTCTGGCGCCCAGTAGGCAAGTGATGAACTGACAGCTGAGATTCAACGTGGGTTAAACGCAGAACAGCACACATAAGAAAATACAATCGGCACCTACGTACGTAATGATGGGATCTGAAATAGCTGTTACCACTCAGGAATGAAACATTGGGGTTACAACAACCACAAAAGCATCAGTACTTCCCTACTGTTAAAAGAGCAGCCAGTGTTAGAAATCAGGAAGAGAACACGGCAGCCAATGGTGATGCCACCAGGCAAATCCTTAGGAGTTCAGGATCGATAACGGACTAGGGGCACCTTGTTCAGCTCCTGGATGACACGTCCTACATGTACGTCTCGGCTTGCTGTTAGGTTCCGGACACCGCCAAATCTCTGTTAAGTAAGCATCTAATCTAGATTCCCAGAAGTAATGAACAGTTCACGCTTAGCCTTAGAGGAGATTCAGTCATTCAGACTATTAGAGAATCAGAGTACTTACATGGGTACTTAAAACACTAAATTAAAACTTAATGAAAACACATCTGAAAAATATAAAATGCTTCATCTGAAGCAATATTAACAAATACTGGACTGCCAATAAGGCAAATGTATCTTAACAGGCCATCATCGTCTTCATTTTCTGTAAAATCACAACCTCCTAAGGCACCACACAAGAAGGGAAACAAAAATGCTATTGCTCCAGAGCAGAGCGCCAAGTACCTTACAGAAAAAGGTGGGTGCACAATTTCAAGTATGCAAAGACAAACAAGTAAAGCTTTGTAGCTGCAACGAAGAACTCCAAATTAAGTGCTGCTGAGCCTTTTAAGAGGGCAGTGATGAATCACAGAAGGAAAAAAAAAATGGATGTGTAAGCAGGAAGAGCTGGAGGTGTTACTTGAGAAACCACTAGAAATAGAAAAAAGTCAGTAACAAGCTTCCAGAGGAGGTAGGAAGTAGAGAAGCAAATTTAGAACTGAATTTTTAAAGGCACACAAGATACACCCATACCCGAGAAAGTCTGAGCCAACCCATCAACACAGTCTAAGTGGAAGAATGTGCTTTTGCAAAAAAAAAAAAAAAAAACCAAAACCTTCCTACTAAGTTGTCTGTGTTAAGGAAGGTCTGACTAAGAACCTCAGCCGGGATGTCTGAGCCTTTCCAGGTTTCCACATCTGTGTGTTTACTGCGGCAGCACCTAAAGGACAACCGCTTACAAACCAGGCTCCAACCTCATGTGTTTGTACAGCACCCACCACAGCCAGTGCCCAAAAAGAGAAGAAACTAAGGCAACGTAGGCTTGCTAACGCTGTAGGAGGTATGCTTATGCTGTCTTGGTGATCTCATGGTACAAAAAAAAGTAGCTATAGAATGAATCTCCTACACAAAACACTGAGTGAGCAAGTCATCTCCCCTCTGTCTCCAGGGGTAAATTTCACCTGTAAGTCTTCAACCACAAGAAGGATTTTTAGAACTAAATGGTTTAAAACTTGCCAGTAAAGAAATTCTCAGCAAATGGAAGACCTCCGACACATGGAACTAGAATCTCAGAAGCCGGTATTAGAAAACAGCAGAACAGCTCATTAGAACACACAGAACAGTCTGTATAGCTTAGGAAATGCTTACGGCTCGTCCCTTAGAACAGTACTTGCTGAAATGAGTTGTAAATATATCATGTTGCCTGCAGTGGACTCATATTTCCAGCTAAGTTCAGACCATACTAAATCAGCACTTAACTTTCCACAGCATGCCACTCAAATTATTCGACTCTTAGAAGCAAATCCATGCTAATTCATATTGGGCTAATTTCTTTGTTTTACTACATGGTAGCAAAGGAAGGGCTTAAAGCGTTGCTCAAGGTCAACAGAAAATGAACAGCAGAGCCAGTAACAGAATTTGGATTCTGTTATTGCCCCGAGTCCTGTGGTTTTAGTATTAGTCAGGCCAGTTCTTCACCTCTGCTGCAGTGGTTTTCTAACGGTGGATTTACAGCTATTGCCAACAGCAGCGCACGGGGTGTAGAAGCGACTGGCTCCATGGAAAGGCCTCGTGCAACAGAAGAGGGTAGTAAGGAAGCCAACACACAGTAGGTAAAATACAAGGTGTTTTTTTTTAAATCGCTTTCTGTTTTACAAGCAAATGTTTGTACAGAGGTTGGTGGAACACAAGCAGACAAAATAAGCAAAACACAAGACCAAGGGTTTGTCATATAGATCTGCAGCCAAAAAAAACTTAATAAAAGGGCAATAACTGGAGATATTCACAGCGCTGATCAACGACAGGTCTATAACCCCCCTCCCCCCAATACATGTGTACAAGAGGAAAAAAACATCCAGCATCAGCTTTCAAACAGCTAAAAGGCCCTCAGAGCTCACGTCTGTTTTAGTATCTGTACAATTGCAGGTGCAACGGAGCAGAGACAACTGCCATCATTGCATAGCCACCTCTTGCCAATTCTTTGTAACATAGTGTTCCCAGATGAAAAGCAAACATAAAATCAGGAACAGAGTGCTAGGTATTATTTTACATCAGGGGAAAAAAAAAAAAAAGAGCTGTAGTGTTTAGTAGTTTAGTTTGTCAACTCTTCAGGTTTTCTATGAGAATTTTCTTCCATTGTCTCCTGAGAACTTCCACTGGCACACTTTCTCAAAAAAACCAAAAAAACCCAACCCTGATGTTATTTGACTTCAAATATATATGTAGAGAGAGCGAGAGCAAATGCTATGTTTGAGTCAGTTAAAATGTTAGTTACCTATGTGTGGCATTAGAGGAAGTGAGAATCTGATAGCTGGCCAGATACAGGAATGATTTTCCCTCAGTTCTACCTACAGCATGTCAACAATGACCTGTAATCAGTCTGACAGCACAGAGCTCCCGCTAACAGTCCACTCCTTCTGATTCAAACGGCTGAGCATTTTACATTCCTTCCTCTTCCCATTTCCCTGGGTTAAACATGCATTTTCTTTGGACTTTGGAAGAAAGACAAACTCATTCCTTGTTACTTTAATCTCTGTGCTGGCATAGAAAGTTGTGTCCTGGAGTCAGGAGAGAACGAACTAGCTGCCAACTGTCCAACGACCCCAAATCCCTCTGGTGTGCAGACGGAGGACTTACAAGAGCAAGGCTGTAACTCTGAGAGATACCATCAGGGAAGAGAAGCATGACAGCACACAGTTCTTTTCCAAAGCGTCCCACTTACGGTGGATGCAGAACAGAGATTCCATGATGAAGCACCAGAACAAGGAAAGCAGGAACACAGACAAAGCATCTCCTCAGCAGTGGGTTTTCCGAAGAACGAAGTCATCTGAAAGCTCAAAAAACCCAGGATCCCCAGAGCAATAAGCAGAATTGTGCAATTCAAAAACACACAGACGTGAATCTTACTTTCAAAGGGCTTTATAATACAAAAAAAGGTAAGTCACAACGAATGCGAAAAATCCATTCAATGAGGCTTGTTTCCAGTTTGCTAGGAAAGCTACTTTTCTCTTATTTATTCCCAGCCTATTGCTGAAAACATGATTGCCAAAACAGTGACACCTCAAGCTAGATTTTTAAAATCAAACTTGCTCTGCCAGATCCAGTACTCTGAACTTGTCCAGGTTGTAGAAACAAGCCTTCACGACTCGGCCTCCAAAATATCTTCCATTTAGATCCACAACAGCTGGAATTGAAACCAAGAACAAGTCAGCAAGCAGCAATTCAATAAAATAAACATTTACTTAGCTAAACAGTCTAATCAGTGAGACTGCTTAATTGTTCTACAGAAAATAACTCTGAGGTTCACAGAACACAATCCTACCTTTGATGGCAGATTCAACCCGTTCAAACTCTAAAAATATTCTCACAGCTTCATCATCAGGGGCACCAGGAATCTGAAACAACACAAACAAACCCCAAACCCAGAAGCAATTAGAACAGGAGGAAAATACTGTTTTAAATTGATGCTGTTCACAGAAATGGTGAAGAGAACACAATAAAAAGGTTCTAAAAGCACGATACCCAGAGATTTTTGCCCAGTTTCTGACATTAGAAGTTTGTATCTTACAGATATGGAAAATACAGGATCACAACACAGCAAAGAACCTTGTGAGATCATCTAATCCCTGCCCCTTTTCTAAGGCAGTAACAAGCCAGTCCCGAGGGAAGAAGTGCCCAGTTCACTTTCAGAGCAGCCAAAAAGAAAGACAAATTATCTCTTACCTCAAAGATGACACATTTCCCAACCTTGCCATACTTCTCGCATTCTTCCTTAGTTTCAACTTCTAGGTCTTCATCCACCTCCCCAGCACCTACCATGTTCTGAAAGTTAAAAGAATAAACCCAACTCACTGGATGTAGTCTGTACAGATGATTACACAGACAAATCATGACATGCAACTGCGACCATGAATACTTTAAGCTTCTGTTTACCAGTTAAGAGCCACAGGAGAAGGCAGTTTCCTAGTACCAAGATCAGATAACTGCATAAACAAAAGCAGTGTTGATTTACATTCACAACTTGTATCTCAGGAAGACACATATTTTCTCCACAATGCAAAGCACCATGTAGGTGCAGGCCAGAACCGTTCAAACTGTACAGAGTCCCTGTATCAGGAACACAGGTTTAAGCATTTCAACCAGTCACGAATGCTGCAAATACCAAGACATGTTCCCTTACTCCCAACTTACCCTTAGTAAAACCACTTTAGTTGGGCATTTCAGTATCTCAGTCAAGGGGTTAGAATCTGCTTTCTTGCCCGTTTCTGTTAGGAAGACAGAACAGTGAATCATGGAATAATTTGAGATTAAATCTCATTCAAACCTTATATGAGGGTTTTTATCAGAACCTTTCTGTTATCAAACAACAGAATAAAAGCCAAAAAATGTAGTTTCACATTGGTGAGGAGCAGCCATTCAGAACTTGTAGCTATTTAGAAGGACAGTAAGCCGAAAAATCATTATTACAGAATGTGAATTAAGCCAGAACACTGACAACATACTATTCCTTTGAGGGAAATAATTCATAAGTTCAGAATTGTATCAGATCCCCTAAGAATAAAAAAAAAAAAAAATCACATCTCCTGACTTCCAACACTTGTGCTCAGGCAGAGGTGCAGTTCTAGTAAGCCTCGATGTTGTCTCTAGGTCAGACAACAGCAGGGAAATGAGAGCAGTATCTAAAGCACGCGATAGGGAGAAAGTCAGCAGGAGCGGAGCAGGATCACCCCCCAAAGAGATGAGGCTTCCAAACACTAAAGGAGGACAACAGCCTAAAATAATTAATAGAGGACCACCACGATAAAAGATAAATTTCCACACAAAGGAACGTGAGTTATTCTTCCAACTCTAGCTAGTATTTTCTGCAAGGCCAGATAGAAATCAGGAAAAAATCCAGGAGCATCCATTGAGCCTGAACTCTTATTTTTCCCTGAGCATTTTTCACAAACTTATTGGTGTAGGACAAAATTACCTTTCTCTGTAGATTCACCAACAATGATCTTGCCACCCCTCTTGCTTGTTTTCTCTACTGAGAGGGCTGTGCTCAGACCCTGTTCATGCTTCCCCAGCCCCTGGCCCTCTCTGAAACCATACTTCTGCATGATTTTATGTGCTACTGTCCCTCTGCAAAGAGAAAAAGTATAAATTAGCAATGATTTCTTACATAAAACATTAACACCGCATTTCTCCTGAGTGCCCAAATACTCTGCCTCCTAAAAATCTCATTGCACAGAGACTGAAAAGCTTCTACACAACTTTACAACCTAGCAATTGCACAACACCCTGTGGAGATGAAAAGCGTTACCCTTGAATTACAGATAGAAAAGGTGCCAGAGAAGTTGACTAAATAAAATTGCTCATGTTTGTCCAAATACAACACAACCTCCACCAGCAACACAAGTCAGCATCATACACTCTACAGAATTGTTTTGGTTGGAAAGAACCTTTAAAGGTCAGTGAGTCCAACCCTTCTGCCATAGGCAGGGACATCTTTCACTAGATCAGGTTGCTGACAGCAAATCACAAAACAGATTAGACCAAGGTCTGTTTAGTCCAGTTTCTTGTCTATGTCAGTGCCTGGTACCAAAAGCTTAAGAAAAAAAGGCAGATGTAGAACGATCTACTTCCCCAGACCACATTCCACTATCTACTAGTTCAAAGTTGGTGTAAGCTCTAGAGTACATGGCTTTGCTACTCCTTCCTATAGCAAATCCAGATATCCTCACTATTAATTTAAATATGTCTCATCTTTCTGAATTGTCAAGAATGTATTGAGGCAATAAAGTACCCCACCTAATTAAAGGTACCTTTTTTTGGTAAGTATCTTACGAAAAGCACCTCCACTGACAGGATGACACAGAAAAGGCAGGATCAGCGACTACAATTTTTTAAGCATAAGACACGAAATACAGAAAGACACATTAAAAAAGGCCAAAAAGTCTGGGTCTGTAATGCTGAAAGGTTAAAACACTAAGTCACATTAACCAATTGTGTGGTCAAAGTAAGTAGGTTAGGTCATATTTTCAGCACTTCCTTCAGTAAGTGAAGGTCCCAGGGTATTGTTAACTAGAAGGGGTAACAATGCGTGAACTGGTTTAACAGTACTGAGTTTGGTTATCCTTTTTCTGAACAATGCAACAAAAAAAAGTGTTTTTCCCAGGGTATTGTTAACTAGAAGGGGTAACAATGCGTGAACTGGTTTAACAGTACTGAGTTTGGTTACCCTTTTTCTGGACAATGCAACAAAAAAAAAGAAGTGTTTTCATAAAACACTGCATAAAAAATTGTTTCCAAGATGGAAATGCAGTGTAATTATGCAACAAACTACACTTTCACGTCTGTTCCTCCTGGATACAGTTTTGACTACGCTGAGGCTGTATTTCCACAAGAGCTGATGCAATTGATAAGAGGGTCATAGCTAACCACTACACCCTTCAAATGAGGTCTTTTAACTATAAATTCAACTTCACTTTGCTGCCACAGTAGTAACACAAGCACTACACACAATGCTAATCCAAGGCAGAAAAGTAAATGGACAGATTTGCAGCCACAGCTGCTACATCCATGCAAACATGTTTTGAATCTCTGAACAAACAAAGCAGAGCTGCAATGACTTGCCCACTGGTACACAGGAAGTTTAAAACAATGCTGGAGAAGAGAGAAGAAACCTAGAGGAACTAACATGCCATCTGTGTTTTCCTGTATTCTACATTAGCTTGGCTTGTACAAGCCACAAACACTTTATACTGGAATGTGGCTTCTGAACTTGCTTAAAAGCACTGCCTTGAATGCAAACACCTCAAATGCATTTCTCTCAATCGAGTAAATCCACCGTTTTTTCTGCATCCTGTCAGTTAGGACTATATTCACTCAGACTGACCACGTACATACAATGAGTTGTCTTCTTCTCTACTGACAAACTATTTTAACTTTTGGTTTCCACCACCTTCTAACGCCTTTTCCCACAAAAAGTGCATAAGTCAATCATTTACCCCATGTTAGCAAGGAAAGAGTTGCTAGGTCCCGTGGGGGAACGAGGTCTTTCTGGCTCATCATATACTGGAGGAGGAATAGCTGCTTTGGAAGATGGTGCCCGAGGTCTTGACTCCTCTTCATATGGAAATGATGCTACAGCTGAAGAAAAGAGACATTTGCTTTTTCACTAATATACTTTGCATGAACTACCTACTTGTTATGAACACCAGAGTACTCTGCCTCCACTCTAAGTCATTGACAGACAGCTCTTCATCTCCAAGTTGTACTTTTTTCATAATTTGTTAGTATTAAAGCAGAGAAAAGAATCTCACATAAATCCAAATCAGAAGAATGTTTCCTTTGCACATGAATCATCAAATGGTTTGGGTTGGAAGTGACCTTTAAAGTCATCTAGCCCAAGCCCCTGCAACGAGCAGGGACATCTTCAACTAGAACAGGCTGCTCAAGCCCCGTCCAACCTGACCTTGAGTGTTTCCAGGGATGGGGCATCTGCCACCTCTCTGGGCAACCTATGCCAGTGTTTCACCACCATCACAAAAAAATTCTTCCTTATGTCCAATCTACCCATCTTTAGTTTAAAACCTTTGCACCTTGTCCTATCACTACAGGTCCTACTAAAAATTCTGTCCCCATCTTTCTTACAGGCTCCTTTTAAGTACTGGAAGGTGCTGGAATGTCTCCCTGAAGCCTTCTCTTCTCCAGGCTGAACAACCCCAACTCTTTCAGCCTGTCCTTGTACAGGAGGTGCTCCAGCCCTCTGACCATCTTTGTTGCCTCCTCTGGACCTGCTTCAAGAGGTCCAAGTCTTTCCTGGGCTGAGGACCCCAGACCTGGATGCAGTACTCCTGGTGGGGTCTTATCAGAGCAGAAGAGAGGGGTAGAATCCCCTCCCTCAACCTGCTGGTCACTTGCTGTCATGCAGCCCAAGATATGGTTGGCTTCCTGGGCTGTGAGCACACATTGTCAGCTCACATCCAGCTTTTCATCCATCAACCACATGCTGCTTTAACAACCCCTCACCTCCCTCTCTCAGAAAAAAAGATTTGAGTGAGTTATTCTGGATTTTCCTCATAAGGTATACAATGAGTTTGCATCCATAGGTCTATAATGCATTTATTAACCTCTTATCAAATGGAGAAAAGAAACATTAAGAGGTCACCTTATGTTAAAGTCATAACAATGACTTTATTCAGACAGAGGATAAGGGAACAGAATTATGACAAAAATGGATCAATGCACACAGGCTGGGGCCTGAGGACTGTAAAGGGAAGTACACCGGACGTTTACACAACAGAGAAATCAGTCTATTAAAAAGAATGAATGCAACTTGAAGCAAAGTATTTATACAATCTTAAGAGATCTCACTGACAATTTCTGAACTGAAATTTTTCCTGGGACGTGGATATATATATTTATCTCACACTAATTAGATTATTAAACTATCTTCCACTGAGAAGCAAATGGCAAAATATTAAAAAAGCATAGAGAACTCTAAAGAAAATATGCTTTTGAATGTACTTCTGGACTTCTAGACTGACTTCATTTTAGATTATTTTCTTGTGAACTAGTCCTTGTATCTTACCAAATAAAATAACAGATGTGAAATTTGGGGATGTCACATGAGGAAAAAAATCCCTGTTTAAGCAGCAGATGGACTGGACTATGGGACTTCTCCTACAGCAATATTTTCCTCAATTTTTCCAGCCTAGCTTTGAGCATAAAGTAACAAGCCATACAAAGGTTTCCTTGTGAGATCATGTCACATTTTGAAAGCTCTGTCCCTCAGGATATTTCTACCATTTCCAGACTGTATTTACTTTTCCTTGACACCGCTGAATTACTCTTAATTATTTACTCAAAACAATATCGCTTTCTGTTTTTAATGTTTACACACCTGAAACGCTTTCACTATTATATCATTCACTTAGTTCGCCAAGCTTCATTTTTTTTTTTTTAATTTGAACCATCTCATAAATAAAATCAGGACTCCCAAAGGAAAGTTTGTGTGCATAAGATTTTTCTTATTATTTTTTAAAGACATACACAACATGCTGGTAATTATTTTAACTTTAAAATGTAAGACAATCAGATATGCAAAAAGCGTGAAGAGTTTTGTTCTTACAGCACGATTATGCCATCTAGTGGACAACTGCAATCTTCAAGCTATCTTCATTGAGGGAAACCCTAGTGCACACACATCTCTTTAGCCAATACTATATCCCTCAAAACCTTACAAAATTCTGTCTGCAGTATACAACCCCTTCAGAAAAGATATTCATAAAGTACCTCCTAAAGCAAAGGGTAACAGAAAAATTCCTTCTTCATGCTGTGGAGGTTTCTAGCCTACCCAGGGAAACCTGTCAGCAAGATTTCTTCTTCCACATCAGAAAGGAGTAAACCAACATGGTTATAAGAGACCAGCTCGCCAAACCACTTCTCTACCAATACATAAAGAATACTTAGAATACATGAAGCACAGCAGTATTGCAGGTTCCCCAAAGCCTCCCCCACCCACAAAGAACCAGTACAAGTTCTTCTGCCACAAAGAATTGTATGAGAATAGTGGCAGGATGACTTAACTGAATAGAAGGTTGAGTGAGCAGTAAACACCACTGACAGGTTTTGGAGAACAGGATTTTGGTGTACTTACGTTCTTTGTCCTTCTCAACAAGAGAAGTGGGTGGTGCAATGGCAGCTCCTCCCATACCTATGAGAAAAATGGAAGACAACACATTTGTATGACCAGGTTCTGCTGCTCGGAATAGCTTCACTGAATCTTAACACGGATCCTGGCTCCTTACCAGCCAATTCTTAACATACATCTCTATCAACAGAGCAGTAGCAAGAGAACAGTCTGAGAAGTTTCAGTAGTGGTGAACAAGAAATGAATGAAAAGCACATCAAGGGATACAACATCAAACCGCAATGTTGTACTACATATTGTGTCTACCATAAACATATTTCACAGGATTTCAAAATTAAAAGACTACAGTGAAACAAACCTTCAGTTCTAAAATCGCTCCAACCAAATGAAGAAGATACTCTGTTCAAGATTAACTACACTTTCAAAACAGTAAAGTACAAAGCCCCTTCCCTATTTTAGTGAGCAATATTCTAATGCAGTGCCAAACTTCCAAGGCAGAGTAAATATTTTAAGTGTCACATCAGAAATTTTATTTTTTAAAACAGTAACAGATCTGAATCATTTACTGCAACTTTATTGCTGAAGGATAATAAAGTTTAATTTTGTTTATGCAAAGACATATCTCATCACCCAGATCTACATCTTCTAACTATCTCTAAAGGCATTCAAATAACAAATGCAGGAATGGCAAGCTTTAATAGTGAAAACTCAACAGTGATTCTCTCATAGCCTGATTTCATCTCACGTCTCAGGCCTTTCCTGAGACCTACACCATGCAGAAACTTAAAACAGGTATCTACAAACTATGTAAAAAGAGGTCTTTCAATAAATATTTTAGCTGCCAGCTGCTTCCATGGAAAGAGCAGTTTTCTGTGTTACAACAGTTATGGTGTAGTAAAATGCTAGGTTTATTCTAACAGCTCAGAATTAACAGTATACTTCTTAGCTGAGAACAGAGAAATACAGAATCCATGAAACAGGAAAAGGATTGTGAATTTCCACCCCCGTCTCTTTTTCTTCTCTTTTCCCATCAAAAACACAAGCAGCTCCCTTACTTCTTTTTCGTCTTTCCCTTTCATAATCTTCATCTTCGTCAGAATCTGGATCTGGTCTTCTTGAAAACCCACTGGCTTCATGTCTGTCTTTACGTCTTCTAGGAGACACAGTAAGTTAGGATAAGAAGTCATGAAAGTTAACTCTTTGCTTTAATTTGTGATACCACCATTGCAGTGTGAATTATACTGCTACACTCTAAGTGGCATTTTATAATGTTTTCGATGAAGACGTAAGTAAACACCTTTACTGTTTGTTTCTTTGGTTTTATCCTCATGGAGTATTTTTCGTAAAATGTAAGATGTAAAAAAAAAAAAAAAATTAAAAAAAAAAGGCAAGATCATCTTCCACTTACAAGTCAGCCAAGGAGAATGCAGCAAAATGAGGAAGCACCTGAAAAAATCTAGTCCAAACCAACTACAGTGACTGAATGACTACAGTGGAACAGAGACATTAATCAATCACCCTGCTTTGAACAGAATCCCTTTTAGATTCACCATCACAGGCTATACAAAGTAATATCATTTACTTGGTAAATTAAAAAAAAAAAAATCATCACACTTAAATAATGAGTTTATTGAGAAGCTAGCTTGGCAACTGAAAAAAGATTCAGGCAACCTATAAAAATCTTTAAACATTTATCTAAGAAATACTTCAATAATTGTTTGCACTTCAACTGTTATTTATTGTGATCATTAAATTACTCATTTTAATACTTGGGGAAAAAAGGAAAAGTATTTTTCCCAAAAAGTTAATAGCACAGCTTGGGGCATAAATCAGATTTTATTCCCAGCATAGCCATCAAAATCGTACTACAGGATGCTAAAAACAGCACTACTATGGAGCCAGACTAAATTTCTAAATCTCTACACATTCATACCACCATGAAGCTGAGCAAATATAATCTTACTCTCTGCTGGCAGATGTTTTACCACCTATTTTAACAGCACACTGAATCTGCATTTAACTTCTTTAATATGATTAGAGAGATTTCTTGCTACAGGGAAAGGGCATTAGGATAATTAAAAATAAGTTTTCTTTTGTCAAGAGACAAAAGAGTAATAAACACACAATTAACTTACTTCAACCGAATGCAGAATATTAAAAAGAAAATGCAACTATACCCCTCAAAGGCTGTGCTAGCTGCATCTTTAAAACTGAAATACATTCACGTATCAGCTTGGAGTATATAAAAGCAGAAAGGATGGTTTATCATCGAGTGTTGAAAGGTATTTCTGTGGTCAGGTTATACTGACAACAAATACTCTAAAATACCTGCAGGGTCAAAGTCTGACAATGATGCATGTAGTACCCAAAGACTGCTGCTACTATTGAAATAAAGTAAATGTAGAAAAACTTGACATGTCTTTAAGCCAAAGAGGCTGTCAATATAATAAATGTTATAATTTTTGCACTGTTAGGCAATTTCTTTTTAGTGTTAAAACATATGAATTAAAACATTGGCTTGTTTCTACAAGCATACAGTATTCCGCACAAAACCTTGAAGAATTTCCCTGAAACTGTTTAGGGAGCTCAAACTAAGCAAATATATGTTGCTATTCTTTACATAATTGTCAATATATCATGAGTTTAAACAAAAGCCTTACTTTTCTCTTTCTTCAATCTCTTTTTGCCTCTCCAGCTCACGCTGCCTCTGCCGTTCCTCTCTTTGACGTTTTACCACTTTTTCATAGTCATTTGGGAACATGGGATCATACTCATCTGCCAAAGGAATCAACACATCTCCCGCAGAAAAACCACTAGGTACAGGATCCTTAAAAAAGAAAAAGGAAGTTTTTCAGCTGAGATCTGAAAACAACATCCTGCTGGACACCAAGATTTTAACAGTTCCTTCTAACCCCCAACAACACAAAACTCAGTTCCTGACTTCTATAATGGCAAGCAATCTCCTAATCCCACCCAGTACTAGAAGAAATCTTTGCTTTACTTAAAAACTAACATTCCACCCAGTTTCTCACTATCTCAAAACTGTCCACAAAGAAAGAATCATCCCCGCTCACTCCCCCTGCCAAAACCAAAGCAGCAGCAAATCAATGCGGACAAGAATTTTTCAAATCCTGTTAATCCATTATTAGAAGTATCACAGTATCTCGCGGTTGCAACTGTCTGCAAGGGGTCCTCCCACACAACCTCATCAGTCTTTTTCATAATTTGCTATTAATATAATACCAGTAGAGGTGCACACACTGTTCTCTTCTCATCTGAAAGAACTATTTCAGAACCACCACCATCGAAAAAGTTTCAAGGAGAAAGTTTCTTTTGATTCCTTACCACAAGAAATTGATTTTAAAAGGTTTGGTGGCTTTTTTTTTAAGTTGATTGTTATACAGATCCAGTTCTAACACTGCTGCAATCACAATTACTTTTATTGTTTAGCTGACAAAACTCCTGTCTTGCAAAGTACTTTGAAGCTGTACAGGAGAAATACACTAGGAACACTGCTTTATTTTAACTGCACATTAATCTTGGTAATTCCATGTTGTATCACATGGAAATCTGTATAAAGTTGAAACATTCATTAATTAAAGAACCTCTGAGCAGAGGAAATCAGTTTCAGAAAATGATCACTTCTTTGACCACTAGGAAAGATGATGAAAAAATAAAAGTACAGACTGCAGTCAAAGAACTCAAATTCCAAAACACCTGTTAACAGCTGGAATTCTGGCTGCTTTGGTCTTACCTTTAGCCCAGCTGCCACATGAGGTGGTGTGTCCACAATCTGTCTCTCATCAGAAGAGCTACCTCGTTTCAGGTCAATCACTGGAGCAAGGACTGTTGTTTGTTTTGTTCTCTGACTCTGAAAAAAAAATAATCACCAAACACAAAATGTCTAAAAAAGATAACAAAACAGTTTTTTGAAAAGGAGCTTGCTTTACATACTTGAAGCTGGTATCTCCATTTTTTTAAAAAGGACAAAAACTGCTGTCTCAAATTCTTCACCGTGCACAGCTCAATACATCATTTATCTTCAGTTTATCAACATACAGTAATTCTTCACATTTCTAATAAACCTTGACATGGATAACTTAGTTTTTGCCATATTTTAGTGGCAAAGGCCACTCAGTTCTGAGACAGATGCCTGCCAACTATGGTTAAAAACCTGCCACACAAATACAGACCTGATGCAATATTCAACAGATGCTGCAGTGAAACCAGTGCATACTTTCCTTTAAGAGAGTGACAACAGACTTTGCTTCTACACTCACTAGAACATATAGTGGCAGGTAAATGGTCCTAGGTTTAGACCACGATCAGAAACACACATTAAAAATTCAGACGATCTCTTCAGATTACTTTGATGCGTGATTTTTTTTTTAAGAAAGGGCTCTGAATTCTTCTGGAGATCTACTGTTCTTCATATTTTTTGTAATCTGATAAAATACATTAACCTATTCTGAACTCTGAATTTTCAAATCCTCTTCTATTTTTCTATTACAGTCTATGCATACATTGCATATCAGTTACACAGACAAAGAATATATTTAATATAGTAGCCACATAAATTTTATTCATGCAGGCTGTTCCAGTTATCAACTAAATCCTGCCCTCAATTTCAGCAGCTTAAATTAGGAGTAATTCCAGTGAAAAAATGCTGTGCCTACTTAAGTATTTGGTACCTACACTCCTTTTTTAGGTAAGTAATCTCACTCTAGAACCTACACACCACAAAGAACACACGTGGTCCTGCCTGAACCAAAATATCAACACTGCTTAAAGAAAAAAGGCGAAATACTGTATCAATTAAAAGAGAAAATGGTTCTGTTAGAGTTTAAGACCAAGGAATTAGCTTGCACTCCTTCCCCATTTCACGTCCAGTGGAAATACGTTCTGCAAAAATCTCTAATGCACCAACTAGTTGCACTTTAGCGCCAAAAGCCTTTTAAAGGCAAGCATAAAATGATGCAAAGATGTAAATAACAACTCACATAAAATGCCAAGAATGACCAGCAGCCAGTACTGCCAACTATCAGTCACAGTATGACCCTTACTTTAAAAAAAAAAAAAGAAAAACACAAAAAAAACCACAAAATGCTTATTCTCATTACCTTCAAACTTAGATTTGAAGATCAGCTTTTGGCTCTACTAGTTAGAAGACCTGAGGCTTGCAGGGCACACATCAGTTCCTAACTCAGTTATAACTTCGCAAGAGTCCCCCTAACAGACTTCAAGAAACATGCATCTGTCATTTTCCCCCCTCAGTTTTGCTAGACTCCTCGCTACAGACTCACAGACAAATCCCAGCATAATTTCTACAATTCAGTGATCTCCTAACACAAAATAAGTTTTAATAATAGAAAGGAAAAATACAAAGGGACTATACCTTTGCTTGTGTGAGAGCTGCTTTCTTCACTTGCAATTGAGACTGTAGTAGTTTGAAATTTTTGGACCAGCCTTCTGTTTTAGAATCACTGGTCTCAACTCCCAAGTCATCGTAAAGTGACATTTTCTCTTCAATTTAAAACTAAAAGACAAAAGGAAAAAAATCCAGATGACATAAAAAACCTATGTTCAGGGCTTATTTGCTACTAGTTTGTATACCATATTTTTATTTATTTTTTTTTAAGCCAGAGAGAATTAAAAATAACTTTTTTCTCATTAGTAGCAGATAGACGTGACTACAGCAAGGCTGCATAAAAGTAACAGTTTGAACAGTAATTAATATTGTTCAAACAGTAACAGGCATTGCAAACTTCCTAAAATTATGTTTGTAGCATTAGATATAAATAACTTCAAGCTTTGAAAAAGTTACACTGTAGTCCACACTGGTATTTTGACGTTCACAAAGAAATTCAACATTATTACACAGTCAAACAGAAAGGAATTATTGTCTCTGCTGACCTTAAAAACCTATCCACACAAACATCAACATGCCAATCCCCTCCTTAAATTCCACTATTTTTTTGCATCACTGTAAAGGAATATCTTTCTTACACTGAACATACTTGCCACAGTATTACTAAGTAACTATTTCCACAACATCTAAAGGCCACTCAAATGCACATAGCTTATGTATGCATACACACACAACGCACGCACACAGATATATACATATAAAATTAACTAGGTAACAACATCAATAACAGGACATGAAATGCATCACTTTGTCAGGTATTGCATCGGACATGTATAGAAGAGACAATTTGCATGTAATGAGAGCTCTGTCACCTGTGGAACAACCTGTAAGCTCATTACTTACTCTCTGATAGGCCTGCATTGCATTATCTCCACTCAAAACCTTTAACTTCTTAATTTATTACAGGATCAAACATGATTGATTAACGGTCTGCAGTGAAAGTTCACAGACTCATCAGCAAGCTCTTGATCCCACAGATATCTGAGGGAACCTGCCTGATACACAGGCGACTGTTGCTACAGGTATGACTTCTATACATTCCACCCTGCGCAAAAAGGCTCAGAGGCAGCAGACAGCAACTATGTTACAACTCTGAAAGACGGAAAACTCAACAAAATTAAAAAAAACCCACAATTCCATCCTACAGTGGAATACGAACAACCAGGGTAGAACCCAGTTCACTACAAGAAAGTGGAGGAGGCTGCACTCACTGGGGGCTATGAGCCACCTGGGCACAGGGATTGGAACCTATATGGGAACAGGAGGAAGACAAGGCACCACAAGAACCCCCATCTGCCACGGGGGAGTCAAGTTTAGGCAGCAGGAGCGCAGCTGCGATGCCCTTGGGGTACATTATCCCCATGGAAAGAGGGAGGGAGCTGCCACCGCGGGGAAAAAACTTTGTTCCTCGACGGCTAGAGGGGAGGGGCTGCGCCACAGCCGGGTGGGCACAAAGGAGCAAAGCGGAGGGGCCGTAACCACACCGCTATGGAGAGGGGACTGTTATTTCCGCCCCCCATGCAGAGGAAAGGCACCGAGGCCCGGGGCGCAGGCGGGCTGAGGGGCCCGG